TGTTGACTTGACTCAACTCCTTGAGTCAACTCCTGGTGACTTCTTGGACAACCCCTATCAATTTTGGATGACATTGTGACCATGGGAACGACCGCTTGCTTCTGAAATGCTTCTTTTTGGACAATTTGGGAGGTTCCTGGTGATCCGGGAAGCCACCTCATCGGCCTGAAGGTCACTTTTCAAGTGTTCCCACTGAAGTAGGCTTAGAAAAAAAAGAGGGGACAAATTTTGTGCCACTGACAGTTATGGAGATTAGTCAAAGCGGCCCCTCCTGCGTTTGTCTTAATTCTTTCCAAACGAATTCCTGGCCTCGTGGTGCAGAAAATCCGTTTCTGGCTCAGAACGGGCTCCTGGCTGAGTTTTGGCCTGCCAGCTCCCTTTGAAGCTCTTAGCTTCTGTGCTGCCACCAGCCGAGGACCTCTTGGCTCTGTTGGCCTCTCGTTGGAAGCCCCCGCTTCCCAGAGCCCTTCCCCAAAGCTGGAATTTATCAGAGCGATCTCAGTTATAAGTATCTCTCCTAAAAATAGAGCCGTTCAGGAAACACATCTCCCTTGTGGGTTTAAAAGAGGAACATCTGCCTTTCATTACTGTCCAAAACATGAATCTTCTTTCTGTCTTGCGTGAACACAGCCACCATCGCCTATCCCAAGGAAGTGACTGTGAACTTCCCAGGGGGTTTTATCTTCAGCATCCACGGTTGGTCGTGGAACCTCATTCATCAGTCTTTACGTTTCTTTATCAACGATGCCATCAGAGCATTCTCCTTTCTTCTTTATTGCATTTCTTTTTCCCTTCTCCTCGAGAGCTCAAGGTGACTTCCCAAAATTATCTCCAAAACAACATCCCTGGGAGGCAGTCTGGGCTGAGAGGAACGTTCTGCAAAGACAGGCACATGGCTGCATTTACACAACCCGCTGAACCAGCTGAGTTGCAGGCCGAGCAGACGCACGTTCACCAACATGCAAAGCATGGGGAGTGTTAATCGGTGTGCAACTGTATGTGCATGCGTGTGGTGCAAAGCCAGCCTGTTTGTTTAGGTAGCGATTCGATGTATTCTGAGAAACCAGAAAACCCATTCATTCAGGAACTGGGATAAATTTGTGGTCTGAATGCAGCTTAACCTGTTTTCTCCAGGCCTTCAAAAAAATTCCTAAACCCATCTATTTGAATCCCCCATCTAAAAGTTCATTAGCTGTCTGGCAGTTCTATATGACTTGGAGGCTGGAAGGAAGATTTTCCGGAGGTCAAATAGGTCATCATGTCAGCTGTGTCTGGACAATCCAAACTCTATCCTCTTTTATGTAGGTGGGGTGTGATTTTTTTGACCTCCTCCCCCTTTGAATGCCCCTGCCTCCAGTAACCAGACCTAAACAGCCCATGGATCTTACACCCATTATGTTTGCCTCTCACAATGTAACTTCCAGTTGCATGAAAGTGGTCATCCAGAAGCTGATGCTTCTCAGCCAGATGCCAGGGCTGTTCTTTTGGTTAAGGGGTGGTATGTCCTGTCCTTCATCCCCAGCCCTAGCTGAGAAAGCTGGGCATTGTAGTCCCACATGTATGAAGTATTGAGGAAGACTTAGGAATCTCTTATTCCTCTAGGTCAGTGTTCCTCAAGTTGCTAAGGTTGAGGAACACTGCTCTAGGTTTTAAACCCTAGCTTGTTCTCATGGTCACCACCCTCAAATGTGTCCACCTTAAAAACATCAGATCCTGCCAGGCCATAGACCAGACCCAATACTACTTTGCCTTTCCTTGAACTCGGCACCATTTTGCTCCGGGCGAGGGGCTTCCAGGAGTCTAAATGAAGTGAGATCCGTGGAGCTAACAATTTATTCAATTAGCCAGCAAGCAAGCAGGCAGGGAGGAAGGGAGGAAGGGAGGAAGGAAAAAGCTGCAGTGATAGTTTCTCCAAAGAAGCCCACAGCCATTAGTTGATTAAAGCCAGCACTCTTGAAAAGGGGTTTCACCAAATGCTCAGAAGAGGAAGCGGCTTACAAAAAAAAATGAAATGTTTATTCTTACATGGTCATAAACCGTTCAACGTATTTTCTGCTGGTGTTACTGGATCCCAAGAGGGAGTCATGCAGACATTTCCCAGCTGTTGGGCAATGGGGACGGGGGGCAGAGAAGCTACATAGCGATTTTACATCAGTCCTTATGTTGCTTTGCCCAGGAGATTCACAGTGATTCCATACATACATGTAGTCTGTCTCCATCATCTATCTATCTATCATCCATCTATCCTCCATCTATCTCTATCTCTACCTATCTCTATCTATCATCTAACATCTACCTACTCCATCCATCCAGCTACCCACCCACCTTATCTATCTATCATATCTATTTATATCTGTCTATCTGTCTGTCTATCATCTATCTATCTATCTATCTATCTATCTATCTATCTATCTATCTATCTATTTTTCTATCACAGGCATTTATTTGGAGTGCCCTCCTCAAAAGATTTGGGGCAGTTTATAGGACCACCTCTGATTCCTAAGTTGCAGAAGCTCACGTGTCTATGGTACCAGCCTGTACTGCTGGTGTCCACTGGTGGGAAGGGAAGGAGAAGACATACTTGCCCTCCTAACACAGCTGCAGGGGCACCACATGGCAGAGAGCCAGATCCTGCCCGTGGCAATGGGATGAACTTATGAGAAGGAGGATTTCCACTCATGATCGTGAGATTCATCTCGGTGGCACGGGCAGTTCAGTCAGGGCATGAATTCCTTAGGAAGAAGGATGGGCTCCCTTCTTAGAAACTGGAAGGAACCTTAAATGTCAGCTGGTCCACTCCTCTGCCCCATGCAGGATCCACTACAGCAGGGTTCCTCAACCTTGGCAACTTTAAGATGGGTGGACTTCTGGTCCATCTAGGTCCATCTAGTCCATCTGGTCCATCTGGTCCATCTAGTCCAGCATTCTGTTTCCACAAAGAAGAATCAGCCACCTTTGGGATATCCATAAGAAGGCATGAATGCCATGCCATGCCATCCTCCTGCCTCTGTCCTCTGAGGAGCTTCATACTACCAGCTCCAGTTGGATGACCATCAAGTTCGCTGGACTTCAACTCCCAGAATCCTTAGCTATGCTGGCTAGGGATTCTGGGAGGCAGCATCTGACGGTTTTGGAGAGCACCAGGTTAGAGAAGATTACAGGGACATTGGGGGATCAAAAAAGTCAATATGGCCCCCTACACCCACATGAGCATTGGAAGTAAAAAAGGGGCCATATTGACTATTTTGACACCCCTGTCTACTGCGGGATGTTTCCTTTGATATTGCTTTCTAAGATCTCCCTGAAATTCTTGGAACAAGAAATGAGGAAGCGTTGAATTCCTGGATCCGTGTAGAGAAATTTCATCAGCCTTTTCTCAAGGTGTTCGATTGCTGCTCCAGCATCCTTGCCAACAAGAAGGGTCAGCCATTTTGGCTGTGGATTATGGGGATTCAAGTCTGACACACTTGGAGGGCACCAGAAGGTCGTGCTGGAAAGAGTCTTATGGAACGAGTGATGGAGAATGATGATTTAATTGGTCAATTAATGGGAATAATTTGATTTTAATTTTTAAAAGCCCTCATAACAGGAAGAATAAAGCCATTTTGTGGAAAGAGAACACACTGCGTTGCAGTTTTGTTGGACTGGCTACACTTCTGGTTGCGTTTTTATCATTTCAGGCTGATAAGCGATCTAGCTTTGTTCCTGGTGGCTAAAATGTCGTTAAACCTTCTAAACGCTGAACACAGACATGTTGGCCCTCTGAGGAACCTTTCGGCTGTGGAGTCCTGGTGCTCTCTGGCTGTTTGCTTGCAGACATTTCATGACCCAACTAGGGAACATCATCGGTGCTTGAAGGGAGTGGGGTTTGCTCCCTGTTTATATACAGCGGCTTGCCCCGCCAGTGTAGGTGGGCATGTAGTTTTCTCCTTGGTGGTTCCTTGATTAGGGCGTTGTTTTCTGCCCGATTGTTTGCCTGGTGCTGATCCCTGCCAATCTGAGTGTTGGCTGCTGGAGAGGTTCTGTTCTGGTCTCTTTGTTTCCTTCTTAGCTTTTTATTGCCTCTTCTGAATGGGGCGTGAGTGTGATTTATCTCTGTGATTTGTCAGAAGGCTTCCAGGAATTCCCTAGTGTTTTTGGATTTGGCTTGATCTAAAATGTTAACAGGACACTGGTTGAGTCTGTCCATGTGTTGTGAGATTAAGGAGTTTCCGTCCTGTCTTCTGACTGTTAGTTGGCATTTGTGATACCAGGTATCTGCAAAGGGGGGGTCCAAAAAGTCATGACGGTGGCCACCACCGTGTGATTGAAGCCCTGCCCTTTTCTTAGGTGTGCAGAGTGGTTACATGGTGGTGGCCCATGCCCTTGACTTTTTGACTCCCCCCTGTGTGACCCACAGACTAATTCACACTTGAGTATTTTCAGAAGGAGAAATGTTGAGGAGAGCAAAGGGGCTTCCTGATCAAACGCTGGTTGCATTCTTGCCTCTCATCTTCCTCTTTTATGTGCCCCCCCCCCATTTCCTCAACATGTTTATGAAGGAAAAATGTCTGGAATCGCTGCAGAGCAATGGCTGGAGGGAGACAGACTGAACTACTGGTTGGAGCAATCAGGGTTTGAAGCTGCTCTGAATTCCAGCTCAGTCAGAAGATGTTTTCCCACTCTGAACCTCTTTCTCAGCTAAAGTTTCTAGGCAGCAATCCAGGGGCAATGAATATGCCACAATGATTTCTAACCATCAAGACTTTGCTTGACCCAGAGAGTCCTAGGCAATCGTCTAGATCCTATTGCCTGGAGTCTGGTTTCTCCAGGAGGGGAGAGAATCCATGGGGTGCCTCTGGAGACAAGCAAGGGTATGACTAACCATGAGTGTTTCTCTTTTAAGAAAGACCTAAGGTCTTCTTAGGAATGGATATTGAAGTCATGTTGGTGGAAACCAAGGCTGGGGAGAAGACAGTTCAGAAACGTTTCCTTCTCACATGAGGCTGCTTTTCCTTTAGCTGGAGAACTTCATCCAGATGAACATCAAGACTGAGATGGCCCATATCCAACAGAACGTGGTACAGAACCAGACTGCTGCAATATTGGAGATTGGCACCAATCTCTTGAGCCAAACGGCTGAGCAGACACGAAAGCTGACCGATGTGGAGACCCAGGTGATTTTTTACAGGGATGGGGGAGTTCAGGAAAAGCAAAGAGATGCTTGAATATTCAGAAGGTACACAGGGATTTAACTTTCCAGATTTTCAGCAGACTCTGCGTATGAAGACATTCAGCCAAATCTTCTGTTTTGATTTCTGGACTTTTATTCTTGAAATTGGCTTAAAAAAAAAAAAAAACAGAGTTCCTTTAGTAGCAAAACAACAACACTTTCCAAGACAGGCCAGTTCTTCTCCTTGTGTATTTAAAATCTCACAGGACCAGAATTAATCAGCCGTTGATGAAGCCACAAGAATTAGCTCACAGCTAAGCTCTAGTTTGCCATTAAGATAACAGTACTATCCAGATGAATTAGATTTTGCAAAAAAATAAAAAATAAAATATGGAGAGACTTGTAGCATACTACTTTGGCTTCGTTTCTAAGAACTCCATCTGCACGTGTGTGTTTATGGAAAATGAAAAAGCAAGCAACTGAGTGTGCTGCAATGTAAATAGTTATAATTAAATATAGGGCCCAGACTTATAGTAGACCCAATGAAATCACTGGCTTGTAATTCAGGGCCAAGATCCAGTTTGGAGTAGTGGTTAAAGGCACCAGGCTAGAAACCGGGAGACCAACAGTTCGAGTCCTACAGAAGACTATGGGCTAGTCACTCTCTCTCAGCCCTAGGAAGAAGAAAACCCCAAACCACTTCCTAAAATGTTGCCAAGAAGGAAATTGTCAGGGGTTAAGATTGACTCAAAGGCACCAAAAAAGCAAAAACTCCAACCCCCCCCCCCCCAACTAACTTACACTGTTGATGTCAGTGGGTCTGTCTGAAATACACTATGTTTGGATCTAGTTCACCCCTATCATGGGGTCTTGAGCAGGTTGTGTGAGTTGATGGGGGAAATGTCCTGACCAAGGACATTTTATCCTTTTCCTCGCTGTGATGGGATATTAGTAGACCCAGCATGAATCTTGAGCAAGCTAGTGTGGACTGTGGACAAAACAGCTCTATGTGATTTTAATGCACAGTTAATGCTCTGTGTGAGTCAGTTCTGAGGTTGGACTGCATCATGATGCCCGTTACTCACTATTCTCTGTGGTCGAGCTCTGGCGCTGAGAAGGGACCGTGAGTCTCTGACTCAGATTTCGACCCTGACCTTGGCTTTGTTTTGCTCCATGCCTAGGTCCTGAACCAAACCTCACGCATCGAAATCCAACTCCTGGAGAATTCCCTGTCCACGAACAAGTTGGAAAGGCAGCTGCTGATGCAGACAAACGAGATTCACAAGCTCCAGAACCAGAACAGGTGAGGTCTTGGCTGAACGAAATAAACCCCCAAGCTGAATTCCAGTGTTGTGAAGAGTTGGGCAGGGAGAGAAAATGCATCTATTTAGAATATTGGAGAAGGCGGTCTCCAAACATCGGTAGGTGAGACCAAATTCTGCCTGCCTGTTTTGCAATGGAAAGAAGGGAGTTGGTGTACCGATTAATCGAAAATCACATCCTCCCTGGAGCCTTCAGTTGGACACCGTCAGCCAAATGTTCTCCTCGTGGTGGGATCCTTTTGGTTCTCAGGGTGACCCATTTCTCTGGTTTGCTAATCTGTGTGATGTTCTGCATGTCCTTACCACCAGCTTGAATTTCTGGAATGTGGCCTTTGACCTCCAAGGAGAAGACAATTCATGCAGAGGGCCTTTCCCCACGGCCAAGCTGAAAGGTTCCCTGCTATGGGCTGGCAGAAAACGAGGCCAGCTGCCCCACTGCTGATGCTTGTCCTGACTTTGCCTCTGTTCCCAGTCCCTGCAGTCCCCTGACCTCCTTCCAGAATGGGAAGGAACCTCAGAGGTCATCTAGTCCCCTTCTCAGGCTCTGCTGAAGCAAAGGCTGGCAGATTTTATTCACTGCCTTTGGAAGGTGTTGGAAAAGGTGATAGATGTCACGTTAGCTCTTGAACAGCTAAAGACTACCTAAAGAAGTGTTTCTCAACCTGAGCAACTTGAAGATGTGTGGACTTCAATTCCCAGAATTCCCCAGCCAGCCATAGAAGTCCACACATCTTCAAGTTGCTCAGGTTGAGAAACACTGGGCTGGCAAAATACTCACTGGGACCCCAGCCAGAAATGACCCAGAGGCAGAGAGCTTTTCAAACAGCAAAGGGACATGGAGCAATTGCAGATTGGGGTGGGACGGGGAGAAAAATAGATTTGGCTTCCCCTTGGCTCAGAGCCAGAGGGTTTCAATAGAGTCAGGGGAGAGAAGGGGCTCAGCGTGATGAAGGCCACCAAAGGCTTTCTCCTCCCCTAATCCTCCCCTGGCTGTGATCACACACCACTCATTGCCCCCATCCTCAGGTTTAGCACAAATGTTCTGGGAGGGGGAGGCAGTCGTCCAAGTCTTAAGCCATTGCTCCTAGATTGTTAGAGTCAGGTTGCTCAAGATGTAAGCCCTGGAGGTGGATGTCAACTGCCCAGATGGTCCTGCTAGGCTGTCAAGGTTTTGTTTTAAAAAAGCAATGCGTGTGTCAGCCTTGCAAGGTAGTCCAGACAGGAAGCACAACTGGAAGGACTAGCTCTAACTTTATTGTAAGGTGACATTAGCAGAATCTTGCAAGTCTGAAAGTACATTTCTCTCCCATCGCCTTTACAGCCCAAAAAACTCAGGAGGGTCCCTTCTGAGATGCTTGCCAGGCCCAATTCATGCCACAGACTCAGCTTCCTCTTATCTGACCGTTGCCTGGTCTGCAGCTCTTCCTCCTGTCTCCCAAGGTCATTCCCACATAACCTCACAGCATGCATATTATTCATACATATTTTCTCTGTATGCCTTCACACACACACACACACACGTCCTCCCCCACACCCCGCATCCATAACCACAGCAATCACAATTATTTTTACATTATTGTGAAATTGCAGATTCACATGGGGAAAAGGCTTAGGCAATACGAATGGTGACATCATTGGCACTAATTCCTCTGCTCCGCAGCGGGTGGATTTTTCTTCATTCACAGCAAAAGGTCCAAGAAATTCTGGCTTTGCCTTGCAGGCTATGTAATCTTTCAGAAGATGCGGGAAGGAACAGGGGATCTGCTCTCTTGGGCCTAATCCTGCTCCCCAGGGAAGACTTGAAGGGAATTTTGGTGGAACAAACAGGTCATCCGGGGATGAGTGCTAGTGAAGAATGTGAGATTAAGCCTAGCTGGTCTTCAGAAAAAATGATTAAAAAAAAAATGATCCCATGGCTAGAAATTCAGAAGAAAAAAAAATTGTTCAAGAAAGTTGCAATATTCTAAAAATAAAACACTGACAGCAGTTACAGAGTTTTTGGCCTGGGCTCCCACGACATGTTTAACCCTAAACCTGGGATAATGAACTTGCTATGCCAAACAAATAAACTCTACCAGGACTTTGCCTGATGGCCTGGTCCATATAGGTGAAGACAATGGCTGGGTTGTTCCCACAACACTCTGAGCCAGGGATGGCCAAGGGGAGGGGGGGGGCGCTTTCCAAAACTCAAGATGACGGCCATGTTTGATACCCCTTCACTGAACCATGAACAACCCAGCTTTCTCTTAGCCTTGTCAACCATGTCATACTAAGCCAGCCTTCCAGCGCAAAGAAAAAATTGGAGTTCTTTGAAAAGAACTCGGCTTCACTGATGAGTTGAGGCCTAAAACAGGAGAAGGAAAAATATTTGTAATGGAAGGGTAAATGAATGGATGAATGGATATGTCAAGCTAAGACCCGTACGTTAGAGCTTGAAGAGAAGTTGAAGAGCAGCAGAAACGGTTCTGAGAGGTTGCAGATCTCTCCTGGTATGCTAGGAAGAGGAAGAAGAATGAGGAAGGGGGTAGTTCCCCTGCTTGAAGAAGGTGGTAGACGTCTAAGGGGTGATGGAGAGAAAACTTCCTATTTTGTCCTGTTTGTGCCCACAAGGAGTTTTGTTCACTCTAAGACGGGTCAAGCAAATTGTGTAAGGAGGAAGTGATTAGGGAAAATTTCATTCAAGTCCTCTTCAGAGGGTTGGAAGAATTGGCGAGCATTATTTCAGGGCCTCTGATTGACCTCTGAGAATGATTGGAGACTGAGGACACTTCTACCCAGTCATCATTCGCCTTCTCAAACGCCATTTGAAGCTTACCCAGAAGGTCTGCAATTCTGCCAGCCTCAGACAGCTGATACACACAGGAGCCAATCTGTCTCTGTCCAGCTGACCAGCAGAAGTGTACAAAGAATGGCATTCCATCAGTGCCCTGCCCTGGGCTACTGCCACTGTTAGAAAAATCTCCACACCCCATCCACACAAAAGGAAAATAAAAGGCATTGCTACTGCCTTCTCATCCATGCTTTTTATTTACAATCAATGCTTTTTGTCTAAGCGGTTGCCCAAGCAGTTGGATGAGAGGGAGTTACTAAACCTTCAAGCCCCCATTCCTCTGTTGCCTTGAAAAGACCATGTGAAATAGGAGCTGGGTGTTGCAGGAAGGCAAGAAATCCTGCCCATGGGAAAACAGCCTCACACAAGCTCAGTACAGCACCAGCAACATAGCCAAAAAGTCACTTCTGCTGAGATTTCAAATCCATCACACACCAGGAATAAATCCAAACACATGTCAGTCAACCAGTCACCAGTCAATAACTCTCAAAATTTAAGAACAGCTTCTTAAACTCTTTGTCAGCTTCCAGCCAAAATGACTAGGAGACATTCTATAAAATAAGTTACTCCATTTTGATAGAGTTGCTTGATTTTGTAGATCATGGGAATGCCATGGATGTAATATAACTTCATTTGATGAGCTATTCTTGTTGACAAGATGGTAAAATGTGGACTGGTAAATCTACAGTGAGTTGATCAGTGAGATTCAAAAGATGTTAATCTGGAGGGAAGCCTCAAATAAACTTCATTCAGTTATCTGCCATGATCTGTGCTTGATTGATTATGTCCCATCAAGTCAGTGTTGACTTTTAGTGGCCACTGGCCAACATTTAATCCATGTCTTCAAGGAGAGTGCCAAGATAGTGTTTGGAACGGGGTATGGTAGCTAATACCAAAGACAGAATGAAGATTCAAAGCTATGTTGTGTTCTTGATATTAACAAAAGAGGGGGAAAGACATAAATATGAGATATTAGAGATCTGTCCTGTATAAAGCAGATTTTGTCTTAATGGATTACCATCTTAACGTGGGCCAGCAGTATATTATGCTGGCTAGCAATTCTAGGAATTAAAATTCCCACATCATGGGAATGCTTTCAGATTAGGGAGGGCTGAATTAAGGAAAGACAAATTCAAATAACCAAAGGCTATTCTGCAGAAAATGGAACAACTTGTCAGGGTGAACCAAACGGCCGCAGTTCTACAATGTGCTCAACCATCTTGATTAATGTGGCCCAGACTTAGCATATTGCCTGAACACAGCTGCTGGTTTGTAACTAACCTGGTTAACTGTATTGTGTGAACGTAACCCGTGATTCTTTGAAACACGTAGTTTCACACATTCGCTTCCATCCCTTGGAAATACATGTGTTAGGGCAATAAAGGCATAATCAAGTCATTTTAACCACCAGAAACAGTATTTTGACTATCACCCAACACTTTGTTAGGGATTTCTAATGGGCTGGAAAGCATATCTTTGCAATCAGAAGAGTTTTCATTTAAGAAAACAAAAGTAAATCTGCTAAAATCCTCTCGGGGATTTGAATTCTCCACCAAATTACATGACACTTGCAAGAGACCTTGGCGTCCACGGTTGACCTTTCTCTCTCTTGGCAAAGCAGGATCACCATCAACTAGCTTTGTAAAAATACTTCTGGCACAGAGAAGAAGTCTTCTGGGCAAGCCAAGATCATGCTCACACTTAACAACTGCAATCTTCTCCCAAAAGTTTAGAAAGCCAGCTGGCCGGCATGCAGTGAACTGCGATCTTAGCAACGTTGGAAATATTCACAAGAATGGAAGGGATTGCACCATGGAAAATTAAACTCAACTCAACATTAATTCAGTTGCACCATGGAAAATTAAACTGCCTTCCTGCGTATTTTTTTTAAATGCTCTATTATACTGGACCTAAAATTGCAGGGTGAGGGAGAGCGATCGTTGATCAAACTGTTATTGCAAAAATAACAATATGCAATTATTGTTAGAATTATATGCAAAAATGCGGTTATTGAGCAAAAGCAAAGCTATACAACACAAACACTCCTCACATTCATGTATTCCAACATTTCCTACCCTGAATAATCAAATGTGAAGAACTCAAAAAGAGCTGAGCTGGACCAGACCAGAGCACTGGTTGGTCCAGCAACTTGCATCACACAGTGGCCAACTGCATATCACTGGAAGAAAGACCCAGAGATCAGTATACTCATCTTGACTTAGAGTATCTTCTGGAATTATCCAAACATTGTTGTGCCAAATAACAGCAGCAGATTTCTGGAAAGAAACTCATCTTTAAATGGTGGTGCATTTCCTCAGATCCTTGACTCTTGAATCATCTAGGCCAACTTGCAGCTCACTGCAGGACCCACTAAAGAAGAGCTTCTCAACTTTGGCCACTTGAAGATGTGTGGACTTCAACTCCCAGAATCCTGGGAGTTGAAGTCCACACATCTTAAAATTGCTGAGGTTGAGAAACGCTGCACTGAAGCATCTCTGACAGATCATCATCCGCCCTCTGTTTGAAGACCTCTAGCATCACCAGGAGGGGTCAAAAAAGTCAAGGTGGCTGCTATGATTGCACCTTTATGGCACCATCTTGACTTTTTTTCACCCCTTCCCTTTGGCAGCCCGTTTAGTGGAATCCTCTTTGCTGGTATCCTCTAGGCTTGACAGCTGTGATACATCTACTCAGGGACAGCCCTTGTAGGCCATTTGGAAACTATGATCCAATACTTCACCCCCGGGTTGTTCTCTGGGAAAATTCTGCAACACTTTTCCCCACGGTGCCCTCCAGATGTGTGTGGACTTTTCAGCTACAACTATGCCAGCTGGGGAGTTCTGGGAGTTAGAAACCACCATCTGAAGGTCCCCAGGTTGGGGAGAGATCACTTTATAATTGTACTGAAATCTGGTGGCCTGTTTTTGAGATGAAATAGGAAGTCTTTAGGCTGAGTTACTCAAGAGTACCTTATTTTACACAAGTTTCTCTGCTTCTTCAGAGCCTCAGCAGCCTTCTGAGACAGAGAAACAATATCTCTGGTGGCCCTGAAGAAGGTCTTCATGACAGATGTTGGTGGCCAGGCATCTAATTGACATCTTCATTGATCGGATTTGTCCCAGCTATTTTGCTCGCTTTGGGGGTTGTGCCCAGAGAAAAACCATTGGTGTTACTGTGATGCAACCAACCACCCAACCTTTATCATGACCGTCTTCCTGTCTCTGCAGCATCTTAGAAACCCGAGTCCAGCAGATGGAAACGAAGCACTTGCGAGAGCTGGAGGACATTCGGACCGAGAAGGAGCAGCTCCAGCAGCTGGTGAGCCGCCAGAGCAACACCATCGAGGGTCTGGAGAAGTCCCTGCACGTGGCCAGCAGTAACGCCAGCCTCCTCCAGCAACAGCAGCTGCAGCTCCTGGAGTCGGTCCAGAGTTTGGTCTCCCTGGTCTCCCAAGGAAAAGGTACATTCTGGGGCATCCAAGGAAAGGGGTGATGGTTTGGATCCATTCGGGGAGCTGCGTTCTTTTGTCCCCTACAGGCTTTGAGGGAGATATGTAAAAGCCATAGATGCAGCCGTCAAGGACGTGGCTAGGCTAGTGGGATTTGGAGTCTGCATATCTGGAAGGCACTGGGTTAGGGACAGCTGCAGTGTGTAAATTTCAGAGCTTTCTCCCAAACTCCAACATTTTCATTTATATTTTGTTAGATGACACTTCCACTTTATCTTCCCTGTTTTTGTTTTAAACCAATAATTACATCCTTTTTGAGTCTTTTCCTTCCATTTTCCTGAGAACCTCCTCCTCACACAGGGCTTCTCTCACCATCCTTGGTCTACCTCAGCTCCTAGTTGTTCTCTCTCAGATCCATAGCGTCATTGAGTTGGAAGTGACCTTCCTCTCACTCAGTGCAGGACACAGCTCTGATGGATGACCATCCAACCTCTGTTGGAGGACCTCCAACCACCATCATCCACAGAAGAAGCCAAGAGGAGACTCAGACAGGAACCTTGTGGCATCATGATGCATGCCTCATGGCATCACACACATGACCCCAAGAGGTAGAACTTGCACGATCCTGCCGATCTTCATCTGGAGTCAATGTGTCATTCTGGATGTCTTCCCCCCTGACCCTTTAAGTGTTCCAGAACATTCTTTTACATCATGGTTACTCAGCCAATGGCAGAAGGGGATAGGAGTTATGGGGGCAGACACGTGCAGCTGATCTCCCGGGATCAGTTGGGCTCTTTGGCCCCTCAGCTGTGCCAGGAAACAGGGGTGTCCAGAGGGTGTGCTCAGAAAAATCAAGATGGTGACAAGAGCTGTGCAGTTGGAGCCCTGGAGCCATTTTAAAATGTGCATTGTGCATTTTCCTAAAGTCTATGTTTCTTTTTAAAGAATTTCCTCACTTTGGACTTCTCCCACCACTCTTTGCTCTTGGTCTACTTCGCTTCCTAGTTGTTCTATCACACCCCTGCAGGGAAATCACATAAAAGCTACACACACACACACACACACACACACACACACACACACTTTCATACATACTGTACTTCAAGGGACATTTCTGACAAGCTCAGATTTCAAAGTCTGGCTGATACATTTCGAAACAATAAATATAAACATGGATTTTAATTTATAGTTCCTCATCCTTCGCTTATGACATAAGTCTAACAATATTGGTAATTGGGAAAAATGAAAAAAAAAAAAACCCACAACACAAATGAAATTTATATAATTGTGCATTTTCCCAAACAAATGTTTAATTGATAGAGTTTGCTTGGTGGTTACAGTAGATGCATCGCTGCCTCAAAAAGGTCCCAAAACCTTTTTCTCAACCGTCTCATCCTTTAGTTTAAAAAACTGGAAGCTTGCCTTCTTTGATCCAAAAATCTACAGACAGCTTGTTTTTCCCTTAACAGTTCTTCTGAAAAAAGAAGACCGTCTGTTTCAGGACTGCACAGACATCCTTCAGTCTGGATTCAACCTCAGTGGGGTTTACACCCTCCGTATTAACAATTTGACTGAGCCCAAAAAGGTCAGTTAACCCAAAGATTAGATGAATCTGATTGATTGATTGATTGATTGATTGATTCACTGATTGACTGACTGACTGATTATGGGCCATCAAGTCAGTGCTGATGCTTAGTAACCACATAGTTCAACCTTCTCCAGGGTGATCTGTCCCTAAACTGGTCCTTCAGATCTTCCAGTGGTGCCCCCATCGCTGCTGTAACTGAGTCCATCCAGCTTGTTGCTGATTGTCCTCTTCTTCTCTTTCCTTCCACATTTTCCAGCATTAGAGCAGTGTTTCTCAACCTTGGCAGCTTGAAGGTGTGTGGATTTCAACTCCCAGAACTCCCCATCCAGCATGGCTGGCTGGGGAGTTCTGGGAGTTGAAGTCCACACCTCTTCAAGCTGCCAAGGTTGAGAAACACTGCATTTAGAGCTTCTCCAGAGAGCTGGGTCTTTTCATAATGTGTCCAAAGTAAGATCATTAGAGCCTGATCATTTGTGCCTCAAGAGAGATGAGTAAATCTAGACAGGTCTAATCTGGCTTGTGCATATTCACACCACGCGCTCTTGTTGCTTCTATAGGCAAATTAATGTAAGACAATACCATGCTGTACAGTAAAGGTTGCATTTCCTGAACTCTCTTGGGCTGAAGACAACTGTCAAGCAATGTCTGGGAGTTCCCACTCTGCAAACTAGCAGTGAAGGATATTGCATTTCTCCCAGTCTTGAGTTACTAGCCCTGTTTGTTCACATAAGTTGCATGGCCCTGCAGCCTCATTTTGATGTGTTTGATCCCCAAGGCCAGACTGTGTTGCTGCTTCTAAATAGAATAATGCAGGGCAGTTGGAGGAGGGGGCTGCATTTGGTGGATTCCCTGTCCGTCTTTCTCCTCCCATTCAGGACTTCCTGGGGTTGGGTTAGGGTACGCAAACATTGAAAAACAGCTTGAAGAAACATTGGACAGTATAATCTTTACATATGACTCATCAGATTGAAAAGAAGGGAAGCGGGTAGAAAAAAAATGGCTAAAACGTTGTATCATAACCAAAGCAACTCAAGGAAATCTGGGCAGGTGGGTGCCTTTGAGCAAAGGCAAACTGTCTGAAACTCAAAGGTTAATCCAAATGGTGGTCACATATTCCTAATTCCACTGCTACCAAGGAAGGATAAATTTATTATTTTAAGGTTATACAACAAATATTTTTGTCTCCCACCGCCCACTGCAGAAAGTACCCATAATTCTTGAAGTTTTGAAAAATGTCAAAAACTGGGTATACCTAAGCAAGACGAAAATATGGGTCCTTACCAGCAACCCCTCAAAAGTCCTGTTGACCATCCTACAAATTTCAAGCCGGTGGTTTTCTTCTTGCCTTATTCAGTTTTCTCCCTTCAGAGCTTCTGCTTCCTATCTTCTCAGGCCTTCTGTGACATGGAAACGGATGGAGGAGGATGGACGGTGATCCAACACCGGGTCAACGGCAGCGTTAGCTTCCAAAAAAACTGGAAAGAGTATAAACAGGTCTGCTACTGGGGCTTTTCGGTTACTTGGTTGTGTCCAGATATATCCAGTGTTCTCTGGAAGAACCACACTCAATGGAGACCATACTCTAGGGAAACTTATTTTAAGTAATTGGTTTGCAGGTGCTGGACTGCTTAGCACTGACTGGCTAGAAAGCGTGAGGTCGCCAACCCCCTATGCCCTCTTCTTTCCAACATTTAATTTGTCAAAGTTCTTTTCAGCCCGGATGGATTTACGAACGGAACGGGCAACCTTAGCCGAATGCAACGTTCGCCAAACACATCCACACATAACAAATGAAAACTCAGAATGACTGCCTTGAGGATGTTAAAGGTATCTCTCTGAGGAAGAGTCTCCTTGGGATTGATCTCGGAAGATCTCCGGGAGCTACGCAGCCTGGGAAATGAGGGCTCTAAATCACAGAATGCATGAACTGGAATTGGCCTTCCGTTGTTTGCTTGATTGATTTGTATAGCCGCCCGTCTCCGTACATGACTCTAGGCGGCTTACAATAAAATAAACAAAATGCATAAAGTAGACAATATAAAAGAATAAAAATGAATCACATAGCAGCCAGCTATAATTCACCCACGTAGGCAGGTGATGGGATCTGTCCCACATCCGGGGCCCAAGCTTGGGCAGAAAAAGCAAGTTTTCAAGGCCATACAGAAGGCCAAGAGCAACGGAGCCAATCTAATCCCATTTTTAGTCCAACCTCTGTCTCTCCCTCTCCTCCCTCCCCCCTTCCTTCCT